GTATTGAGGAGGGCACCTTTTGGGATGAGCACTGGGTGTTGTATGGAAACCAATTTGACAATAAATTTCATATATTAATAAAAAATATATATATATAAAATTCCCAAATACATACAAATATTGATATCCAGTCCTGAAATGACATCCCTGGTTTCTTCTTAGGTTCTGAAATGTTTATCTCTATTTTACTTCATTATTACATTTTGTTTGTACCCAAACTTTCCATAATTACTTCCAATTACCTTTCCCCACAACATTAGAAAATATGGTGATCAAATAATAGTAGTAGTGATTTTTACTGGGATTTTACTTGTCTACATACTATGCTAAGGAATTTCTATCTATAAATGTACTTAATCTTTGAAATAATTGTATGAGTTAGATATTATTTTTATTATCAGTTTTTTACAGATAAGGAATTTAAACATAGATTATGTTACTCGCCAAAGTTTTTGTGGCTAAAATGGACAGACTTGTAATTCAAATCAAGGCAATGGAAGGTATATTATCTCTATCTTATCTAATCTCTGTCTTATTGCTGATTCACTGGAGTGGGTCTTTTTCCAAACTTATGTCCATCTCTTAGGGTCTTCCTCTGCCACAGAAGAGTATTCATGGAATCCTTTAAAGTTTTTCAATTTACTTATGTGATAGTACTCTATTTCAGTGGCAAAAATTGTCTTCAATTGTATTCAGTGTTGTATTAAAACATGCAAATGGTTTCCAGAGCTGGCATAAAGTTGGGGGTCATCCCTATATATGATTATATTTTATAATTTTATGAGCTGTATATGTACCAATATCTTTGACAAAATAAATACATGCAAATTAAAGCAACAATGAGATGGAGTTCATCATAAATTCAGTTTAAGTACCACTCATTACTATTTTGTTTTGCTTCTCTTTACATTTATTTTTGAGAAACAGAGTGAGACAAAGCATGAGTGGGGGAGAGGCAGAGAGAGAAGGAGACACAGAATCTGAAACAGGCTCCAGGCTCTGAGCAAGCAGTCGGCACAGAGCCTGATGTGGGGCTCGAACCCACGAACTGAGATCATGACCTGAGCCGAAGTCAGACGCTCAACCAACTGAGCCACCCAGGCGTCCCTGCTTCTCTTTAATGTGATATACAATCATGATGAGAATATATAGACAGGGATTCATATATATCCATACATATGGAGATATATATATATATATATATATATATATATACACACACACGTGTATGTATAGATAAGATAGATAGATAGATAGATAGATAGATAGATAGATAGATAGATAGATATCAAAAAGCCAGGTGACTGGATGGCTTAGTCGGTTAAACATCCAACTCTTGATTTTAGCTCAGGTCATGATCTTACAGTTCCTTAGATTGAGCCCTGCATTGGGGTTGTGCTGACAATGCGAAGCCCGCTTAGGATTCTCTCTTTCCTCTATCTTTGCCCTTCCCCCCTGCTTGTGCATGAGCACTCTCTCTCAAAATAAATAAATGAACATTAAAAAAAATAAAAACACAAAATATGACATAATTTTGTAACATATTTAAGTACAAAAGGGTACACATCAAAATGATTGCAGTGGATTCCACAATTTCATTTACCTCTAGAAAATGGCATATGATCCATTCTTATTTTCCTTACATATGTGTCTATTTAATATTTTAATAGATGTTAACCAATATATTTAATTTAAAGTAATAATAAGTGTAATATAATTTACCGATAAGTAAAAATTTGCATTATCCTTTTAACAACAAAAAGGAAATTTACTCCACTTTGAAATTTCCTTTTTCCTATTAAAAGATAATATGCATTTTAAAATATCCTGTTTGTCGGGGCGCCTGGGTGGCGCAGTCGGTTAAGCGTCCGACTTCAGCCAGGTCACGATTTCGCGGTCCGTGAGTTTGAGCCCCGCGTCGGGCTCTGGGCTGATGGCTCAGAGCCTGGAGCCTGTTTCCCATTCTGTGTCTCCCTCTCTCTCTGCCCCTCCCCCGTTCATGCTCTGTCTCTCTCTGTCCCAAAAATAAATAAACGTTAAAAAAAAAAATTAAAAAAAAATATCCTGTTTGCTATTAAAAGGATAATGCATATTTTTACTTATCATTAAATTATGTTACATTTAAGAGGCACATGCACCCCAATGTTTATAGCAGTGCTATCAACAATAGCCAACTAATGGAAAAAGTTCAAACGCCCTTCAACTGATGAATGGATAAAGTTGTGGTGTATATATACAATCGAATACTAGTGAGTGATCAAAAAGAAGGAAATCTTGCCATTTGCAACAACGTGGATGGAACTAGAGTGAGTGTACCATGCTAAGCAAAATATGTCAGTCAGAGAAAGACAAATATCATATGATTTCACTCATATGTGGAATTTAAGAAACACAACAGATGAACATAGGGGAAGGAAATGAAAAATAAGATAAAAACAGAGAGGGAGGCAAACCATAAGAAACTCTTAAAAACAGAAAACAAACTGAGGGTTGCTGGTGGGGTGTTGGGTAGGGGGAGGGGCTAAATGGGTGATGGACATTAAGGAGGGCACTTGTTGGGATGAGCACTGGGTGTTATATATAAGTGATGAACCACTGGCTTCTACCCCTGAAACCAATACTACACTATATGTTAATTAACTTGAATTTAAATAAATTTTTAAAAAATCTATATACTTATAGATCTACCTTTATAATTAGATATATTAAAAGAATTGGAACAAATACTCCAATACTCCAAAAGCACTATCTCTCTATAGACAATGAGATTTAGGACAATTTCTTGCCCCTTTTCCACTTTTAAATTTTCTATCAAAATAACACTTTGCTACAAATAAAAAATGTATTGGCAAGGAAAATTCTGAGAAAGAAATAATCAGCAAATTTGTGTAACATTATATTAGTAGAATGTTAATTCAATAACAATGCAAATATGTATATATGCATCAATATACTTGCAATTAGGAAAATGTGAGAATTTTTATTGTTTAATTATGTGTGTTTATATCCATTACATTTTCTATATATCATGTCTAAATATAAAAATATATTTAAAAATTTTTTTTACGTTTATTCATTTTTTTTTTTTTTTGGAGAGACAGAGAGTGAGCAGGGGAGGGGCAGAGAGAGGGGGAGACACAATCTGAAGCAGGCTCCAGGCTCTGAGCTGGCAGCATAGAGCCTGATGCGGGGCTCAAACTTATGGATGGTGAGCTCATGACCTGAGCAGAAGTCTGACACCCAACCAACCGAGCTACCCAGGCACCCCCAAAATATATTTAAAATAAATATCTTACAATTGAAAATTTTAATATAATCAATATAGTTTAAATCTGTTTTCCAAATGTAACACATTCCAATGTGAATAAATTTATCAAAGATAACACAAGTGAAGATCACATTTAAGTGGTTACTTACTTCTGATTTCACAAGTATCCGGTAGGACTGATCTACCACTTGGGTCGTGGGATAATTTTCTTGTAAGGGCAAAAACTCAATTTTATTATTCTTTATTTGATAAAGCATATGCTCATATGCAGCTGCAGATTCCAATGGTTCAATGCCATAACTGACGTTCTCCAACTGCAATAATCCCCTAAATATTTAAACACATAAAAAAGAAATAAAAAGATAATTAATATAGAGTACCCACTGAGAAATGTAAATCACCATTAAATAAAAAATTTTATAGAAATTTAACAGTGGTGCTTGTGGTCTAATATCTAAGAATCATCTCTTTGTACTTTGATAAACTTTCAAACACAATTTTATAGCTTCTCTCTATTATGCCATTTGGAGTCATTGTGGTTCTAGTGTGACTAAGAAATTTGAATATTCTTCAAACTAGTTAGTGGAAGCTATTTCTGCATAAGTATTATGACTGCATGTCTGGGACAGTGATTAAAAAAGAGAAGGAGGACTCCATTGTGTATATAAACCACAATTTCTTGATCCATTCATCAGTTGATGGACATTTAGGCTCTTTCCATATTTTGGCTATTGTTGAGAGTGCTGCTATGAACATTGGGGTCCAGTGCCTATGCATCCAATTACTCCTGTGTCCCTTGGATAAATTCTAGCAACAGTGCTATTGCACAGGTCATAGAAGTGATTGTCTATTTTTTAATTTTCTGAGACCTCACTGCTTTCCAGGCGGCTGCGCAATTTACTACCAGCACCAACAGTGCAAGGGTTCCGTTTATCCTCTCCAGCATCTATAGTCCTCCTGGTTGTTCATTTTGGCCACTCTGACTGGCGTGGTGATACCTGGAGTGTGGTTTGATTTGTATTTCCCTGATAAAGACTGGCAGCTGAACATGTATGCATGTGCCTGACTGGCCATCCGGATATCCTTCTTTAGAAGTGTCTATTCATGTTTTCTGCCCATTTCTTCACTGGGTTATTTGCTTTTTAAGTGTGGATTTGGTGACTCTTTATAGATTTTGGATACTAGCCCTTCTCCCGATATGTCATTTGCAAATATCTTTTTCCCATTCCGTTGGTACCTTTTAGTTTTGTTGTTTCTTTGCTGTGCAGAAGCTTTTATCTTCATATGGTCCCAGTAATTCACTTTTGCTTTTAATTCCCTTGCCTTTGGATGTGTTGAGTGATGAGAGATTACTGCAGCTGAGGAGTCAGAGAGGTCTTTTCCTTTTTCTCCTCTAAGGTTTTGATGGTTTCCTGTCTCACATTCAGGTCCTTTATCCATTTTGAGTTTATTTTTGTGAATGGTGTACTACGTGGCAATGAGAAAAAATGAAATATGGCCTTTTGTAGCAACGTGGATGGAACTGGAGAGGAGTGTGATGCCTAAGTGAAATAAACCATACAGAAAGACAGATACCATATGGTTTCACCCTCTTATGTGGATCTAGAAACAGAAAACCCATGGGGAGAACAAAAAAAAAAAAAAGAGTTAGAGTGGGAGAGGCAAAGCATAAGAGACTGTTGAGAACTGAGAACAAACTAGGGTTGATGGAGTGGGAGGGAGGAGGGGTGGGTGATGGGTACTAGAAGAAGAGGGCACCTTTTTAGGGATGAGCACTGGGTGTTGTATGGAAACCAATTTGACAATAAATTTCATATATAAATAAAAAAAATAAAATAAAAAAAATGAAAAAAATAAAAAAGAGAAGGAGGAAAAGAAAGTATATGGGAAGAAACACAATCAAAATCTCTATTTTCTTTGTCTTCATTCTATCCTTCAAGATGTTTCTGAAAATTAAAAGATCACACAAGATTTTGGGGACGGCTGGGTGGCTCAGTTAACTGTCCAACTTCAGCTGAAGTCATGATCTTGCAGTTCATGGGTTCAAGCCCCACTTCAGGCTCTGTGCTGACAGCTCTGAGCCTGGACTGCTTCAGATTCTATATCTCTCTCTCTGTCTACCCCTCCCCCATTCACACTCTGTCTCTATCTTTGTCTCTGTCTCTCAAAAATAAATAAACTTAAAAAAAATTTTTTTAAAGACCACACAAGATTTTCAATCATGTTCATCTCTAGAAAATGCCATTACCTGAGTCCAGAACAAGTGCTAAGTGTCACAACTGATTTTGGAACCTCTGCAGCATATCCTTGATAAAGGCAATGGCCCTAAAGAGGAGTGTATGAAGATACATTCATGAATAATTGGGCTTTTTAAGTTTTTATTTAAATTCAGTTGGTTAACACACAGTGTAATATTAGATTCAGGTGCACAACACAGTGTCAATACTTCTATACAACATCCAGCGCTCATCACAACAAGTGCATGAATGATTTGTAAATAAAGTTTTTGGTTTATCCTTACTTCCTAAACATCATCAAACATTCAGATGTATCCATTACCATATTATCCACCAGATATTGCATTACTTGCAATCTCTTCCTCTTAACACTTTTTGATTAAGAATAATCATGACTCTTATCCTTCCCTAGATAATCCTTGCTATAATTCTAAATTTTTTTCAACTTCCTTTACTGCATCTTTTCTTTCTAAGCCACATTTCTTGAATGTATAGTTTATAACTACTAACTTTATGTATCTCACAGTAGTAATTTGACTTCAAATCTGAACATTTCACTTATTTTTTAAGTTACCCAAAAGTATCTTAAATGATATTTCTTTTTTTTTTTTAATTTCTCTGTAATATCTCACCATGTTTATCATCTTATTCCAAGCTCTCCTCTCCATGGACTTTCACAGCATTAGTCTTCCCAGGTTCTCCCCTAATACTCTCTTTCAGTGAATATTCCCATGTCTCCACTTAAAATTCTAGTGATTGTACAGTCAGTTCTGTTCCTTTGCTAATGCTATGCTATAATGACTCACATTCTTTCCTATGAATTTGTTTATATGTTGTTATTATACATTATTAGCTGCCATACATATTATTTCCATTTGTTCCAGATAGGAACTTTCCTCACTGAGAGGCAGTGGCACAGGTAATACCTCTTACCACCACAGGATGCAATAGCAGAGGTCCAGTAGAGCTAGAAGAACAAAGCACAACAGAATAACTTTAAAACCTACAAGAAAGCTAAATTATCATTCAAACAACACACTCTAAATCTAAACTTAAACTGGGTGACTGCCTTCAAAAACAGAAGACTTAAATACCAAGGACACAAGCAAAAATCACCCACTATAACAAGAACTGAAGGAAAAAAAGAGAGAGAAAACAACCAACCGATGCCAATATTGATATGAGACACATGTTGGAACTAGCACATAAGATTTTAAACCAGCCATGGAGAAATGCTTCAGTGAACAATTACAAATTATCTTGAAAGAAATTACAGAATAGAAATAAAAGCCACAAAGAAAGCAAATAAATTATTAGGATAGTCTCAAAAGTAAAGTGGAGATGACAAGAGTTAGAATCTCTGAACTTGAGGACAGATCAGTGGAATTTATCCAATATATGAAACAGAAAAATGAGCTAAGAAAATCCTAGAGCCTCAAATAAGCTGTGGAACAATAGCAGATCTAAAATATATATCAGAATCCAAGAAAGAAAACAGAAAGAACGTGGAGTTGAAAAGTACTCAGAGAAATAAAGGCTGAAATTCTGGTCAGGAAGATAGAGTAGGAAGCCCTGGACCCCCTACCATAGAACAAATACACCAATTTAGCAGTAATACATGGACAAATTCTCTTTATGATTAATCAAAAACTAATTGAAAGGCTTCTGCACCACTCTAGGAGAATGCAAAATCAGACTCATTAAAGCCAATATGGAGATTTGGTATACCTTACATCAGGGACACTGTCCAGGGCACTGCCATATGATCACAAAGAGACCCTTTGTTTCCCAGCTTGACCAGGGAAGGAAAGGGATTTTTCACATATCAGCTGCCCCAATTTTTCTGAAGGGGCTACCAAAAGAACTGTGTCACCAGTCTTGGAGCCCTGATGAGTTCAGCACAGCTAGCAACCCAGGCAAAAATAAGGGTGGTGACTTGGACTAGTTACACATAATTGATCTGCAACACAGAGTAATTGATCAGCACAGAGTAAGTTAATGCAAATTCTAGCTTTCTGCCTTTCACTAGAGAAGGAAAAAGTTTATTCATGCAAGCAGTGCCCCACTCCACCAAAACTGCTCATAGAATTAGCATCTGTCTCACCAATCCTGGAGCACTGATAGAACTGGTACAATCTAGTTGCCTCTACAATCTAGAGACCAGAGATAGCAGCTTGGAATGGTAGATACCTTTGATCCTCCTTCCTAACCAGCACAGAGACAGCAGGACAAAAACAGGTGCCTGCTTCTACCTGAAGAAATAAAAAGTTAGTAGAGGCCCCCAAAATCAATGGCAAGGCTGATTTGGGGAGTCCGCATCTGCATAAGGCCAGTTGGTGAAGACTGGGAGAGGTGACTGCTTTGACTATGAGCCAACAACCCAAACAGTGAGTCAAGTAAAATGAAGAATCAGGAAAAAAATGTTTCAAACAAGGAACAAGATAAATCTCCAGAAATTGACCCTATTGAAATGAATTTAAATGATTAACATTAGAGAGAAGTTAAAAAGAACTCTCAGACACAAACTTCCAGCTACAAAATAATAAGTAATGGGGATATAATGTACAGTACAGTGACTGCAGTTAATTATTCTATATTATACTATATTGTCTATTTGAAAGTTGCTAAGAGAATAGATCTTAAAATCCAGTAACTGTATGGTGATGGATGTTAACTAGAATAACTGTGGTAATGATTTGACAACATATACAAATACTGAATCATGTTGAACATCTGAACCTGATATAATGTTAATGCCAATTATACCTCAATAAAAAAATAACTCTCATACAGATACACACTGAGGTCAAGAGAACAATGCATGAACAAAGTAAGAATTTTTTTTCTTTTTGTTTTTAATATGATTTATTGTCAAATTGGCTAACATACAGTGTGTAAAGAATGCTCTTGGCTTTTTGGGGTAGGCTCCCATGGTTCATCACTTACATACAGCACCCAGTGCTCATCCCAACAAGTGCCCTCCTCAATGCCCATCACCCAGTTTCCCCTCTCCCCCAGCACCCAATTAACCCTCAGTGTGTTCTCAGTGTTTAAGAGTCTCTATGGTTTGTAACTATTTTTCCCCTTCTCTTCCCCCATGGTCCTCTGTTAAGTTTCTCAAGATCCACATTATGAGGTAAAACATGATATCTGTCCTTCTCTGACTGACTTATTTCACTCAGCATAATACCTTTCAACTCCATCCACATTGCTGCAAATGGCAGGATTTCATTCTTTCTCATTGCCAAGTAGTATTCCCTTGTATATATGAACCACATCTTCTTTATCTATTCATCAGTTGATGGACATTTAGGCTCTTTCCATAATTTGGCTATTGTTGAAAGTGCTGCTATAAACATTAGGGTACACGTGCCTCTATGAATCAACACTCTTGTATCCCTTGCATAAATTCCTAGTAGTGCTATTCCTGGATCATAGGGCAGTTATATTTTTAATTTTTTGAGGAACCTCCTCACTGTTTTCCAGTGCAGCTTCACCAGTTTACATTCCCACCAACAGTGCAAGAGGGTTCCAGTTTCTCCACATCCTCACCAGCATCTGTTGTTTCCTGAGTTGTTCATTTTTGCCACTCTTCCTGGTGTGAGGTGGCATCTCAGTGTGGTTTTGATTTGTATTTCCCTGATAATGAGTGACAAACAAATTAATAATTTAAAAAAGAGATAGAAAAATTCACTAGAAAGTTTCAACAGCAGACTAGATCAAGCATAAGAAAAATATCAACTTACAGACAGGTCTGAGTAGCAAACAGACTAACTTACTGGGGTATTATCAAAGCCTAACTGACCTGGGGAAGAGAAATACCCAACTCCAGCCCACTTGGGCCATTCTGCCCCACCTAAGGAGGAAGAAAAAGAAAAACTGAGAAAGATTTGTGATGTGCATAGTCCAGAGGCACAGGCCAAGTAAAACACTGAAAGTTAACCATATGACTAAAGAACACTTTTCTCCTCACAGCTGACCACTACATTACTGAAGGCATATTTATAGCAGTTCCTTTCACCTGCTACATCATGTCCAGCTATTGAGAAAAAATACCAAAGGCAAAAACACAATTTGAAAAGACAGAGCAAGTATCAGAAACAGACATGGCAGGAATGTTAGAATAATATTTATTATTATACTAAGTGCTCTAATGGATAAACTAGACACTGTGTAAGAATAGATGACCAATGTAATCAGAAAGATAGAAATCCTCAGAAAGCACCAAAAATAAATGCTAGAGATGAAAAAACACCGTAACAGAAATGAAGAGTACCTTTAATGGCTCACTGGTAGTTGAGAAGTGACTGAGGAAAGAATCTCTGCACTTGAGGATATATCAACAAAACTTTAAAATCTGAAAAGAAAAAAAAAGGCTAAAACAGAAGAATATATTCAAAGACTATGGTACAACCACAAAAGTTGTAACATACACACGATGGGAATAACAGAAAGAGAAGAAAAAGAGAAAGGAGCAGAAGATATATTTGAACAATAATAACTGATAATTTCCCCAAATTAATGTCAGACACCAAATCACAGATCCAAACAGCTCACAGAATTCCACACAGAATTAAAAAAACAAACAAACAAATAAAACCCACTACACCTTGGAACATCATTTTCAAACTACAGAAAATCAAATATAAAGAAAAAGTCCTAAAAGAAGCCAGGGGGGAAAGACTTTTAACTATAGAAGAACAATAATAAGAATTACATAAGATTTCTCTTCATAAATCATGCACACAAGAAAAGATTAAAGCAAAATATTTAAAGCATTGAGAGAAAAAACACCCTGCCAACCAAGGATTCTATATCTTGCAAAATTATCCTTCAAAAAGAAAGAAGTAAAGAATTTATGAAACAAACAAAAATTAAGGGAATTTATTGCCAGCAGACTTGTTTTCAAGAAATATTTTGAAAAAATCCTATATAGAAAAGGAAAATGATATAGGTCAGAAACCTGAATCTACATAAAGGCAGACTGTTGATAAGGGAATATGATAGTAAAATAAAAACTTTTTTCTTATCCTTAACTGATATAAAAATTGTTCAAATAATAGCAACAATGTATTTAACTGCATATGTTTATATGGACACCTTATATATCAGATATACATTTTATATTCATATTTCATATATATAATATGCTTATATATAAGTAAAGTGAATGAAAGCAATGATACAAGGGATGGGAGGAAAGAACTAGGGTTATTTTTTATTATAAGGGACTCACACTACTTGTGATATGATACAGTATAATTTGAAAGTGGACACAGTTGAATTCAGCAACATCACCAATCAACTGGATATAACTGACATCTATAGACTACTTCATCCAAAAATAGCAAAATACACATTTTTCTCAAGTTCATATGGAACACTCACCAAGACAGACATTCCGAGCCATAAAAAGCACACTAGCAACTTAAAAGAATAGAAATAATACAATGTCTGCTATTAGACCACAGTGGAATTAAATTACAAGTCAATAACAAGAAGATAGCTGGAAAATCCCAAACACATGCTTCCCGGGATGTTTGAGTGGCTCAGTTGTTAAGCGTCCAACTCTTGCTTTTGACTCAGGTCATGATCTCACTGTTCGTGAGTTTGAACTCCCATACTGTCAGCACAGAGCCTGCTTGGGATTCTCTCCATCTGTCTGTCTGTCTCTCTCCCTTTCTCTCTGCTCCTCCTTCCCCAGCTCATGCATGTGTTCTATCAAAATAAAAGAAAATTTTTAAAAACTTCATGCTTCTAAAGGACACATGGATCAAAAAAGAAATGTCAAAAGAAATTTTTTTTTAACTAAATAGAAATAAAACACAGCTTTTCAAATTTATGGGAAGCAGCAAAAATAGTGTTTAGGGGGAAATCTATAGCATTTAATGCATATATTTAAAAAGAAGAAAGATCTAAAGTCAACAATCTAAGTTTCCCCCTTAAGTAACTAAAAAAAGAAGAGCAAATTGAATCCAAAGTAAACTAAAAAAAAAGGAAATTATAAGACACTGAAAACAGGAAATCAACACAGAAAATGAATAAAACCACAAGCTGGTTCTTTGAAAATATCAATAAAATCAATAAGCTTCTAGCCACACAGTCTAACTTAAATGAGAGAAAATAATTACTAATATCAAAATTAAAAAGGCAGCATAACTATGGATCCCATAAGTACTAAAAAGATAATATAGGAATATGATGAGCAACTCCTCACCCACAAATTTGAAAATGTAGCTGAAATGGACCAACTCCTTGAAGAACACAATTCGTCAACCCTTACACAAGATGAAATAGACAATCTGAATGGGTGTGTATTTATTAATCAAATATAAAATTAATAATCTTCCAAAACAGAATGCACAAGGACCAGATGGGTTCATTGTTGAACTCCTCCAAACATTTAAGGAAGAAATTATACCAATTCTCTACAAATTCTTTCAGAGTATAGAAGCAGAGGGAATACTTTCTCACTCATTCTGTGGGGACAGTATTATCCTAATACCAGTCAAAAATATTAAAAGAAAACTTCAGACTAATGTCTCTCATGAACATATATGCAAAAATCCTTAGCAACATATTAGCAAATCAAGTCCAACAATTAATAAAAATAATTATAAATCATCAACAACTTGGATTTGTCTAAAGTATGCAAAGCTGGTTCAACATTCAAAAATGAAGTAATGTAAGGTAAGCAATTACAGAAACAGGTTAAAAAAGAAAAATCAGTAATGTTTCACAGGACAAAATCAACATGTAAAAATCACTTGATTCTATACATTAACAAATTTAAAACTAATAAACTTGCTTTAAAAGCAAACCCATTTATAATAGCACCCAAAAGAATAAAAAAGGAATAAATTTAATAAAGGAAGATCTATATATACCCTATAAACTATAATACAGTGATGAAAGAAACTGATGAAGATGCAATAGTAAGATATCCTGCATTCATGAATTTTAAAAAAATATTATTAAATGTCCATACTACCTAAAGCAATCTACAAATCAACACAATCCCTAATTCACTGGAATTCTTCACAGAACCAGAAAAAAAAAACTAAAATTTTTATGGAGCCACAAAAGAATCCAAATAGCCAAAGCAACCTGGAGAAAGCTGAGGAATCACAATTCCTGATTTCAAACCCTATGGCAAATCTACAGTAATCAGGAAATTATGATATTGGCTTAAAAAAACAACAGATAGAAGAACAGAACAGAATTAAGAGACTAGATATATACCCACACATAAAACATCAACTAATCTTTCACAAGGGTACCAAAAACAAACAATGGGGAAAGGATAGTCTCTTTAATAAATGGTGAAAAAAACTAAATATCCAAATGCAAAATAATGATATTGGACCCCTACCTTACACCACTTACAAAAATTAACTTGAAATGAATTAAAGACTTAAAGATATAAAGCCATAAAACTAGAAGAAATACAGGAAAATCTCCTTGATGTTGGTCTTGGCAATCAGTTTTTGGCTTTGACATGAAAATCACAGGAAATAAAAGCAAAAAGTTTTAAATGGAACTGCATCAAACTAAAAAGTTTCTGCACAGCAAAGGAAATACTCAACAAAATGACAAGGCAATATATGTATTGGGAGAAAATATTTGCAAACCACATATCTGTAAGAGGTTAACCAAAATATATGAGGTATTTATATAACTCAACAGCAGAAAAACAAATAATCCAATAACAAATGAGCAAAGGACATGAAAAGATGTTTCTCCAAAGAAGATATACAACAGATATATAAAAAGGTGCTCAACATCACTAATCATGAGGAAATGCAAATCAAAACAATGAGATATCACTTCTTACCCAATAGGGTGGCTTTTTATCAAAAAGACAAGAGATAACAAGTGTTGGCAAGGATGTGGAGAAAAGGGAACCATTGTATGTGGTCAGTAAGAATGTAAATGAGTATGGTCATAATGGAAAACAATATGGAGATCGCTCAAAAAATTAAAAACAAAACTGAACTATGATTCAGCAATCTCACTTCTAGATATACATCCAAAAGAAAGGAAATCAGTTTCTCAAAGAGATATCTCCATTCATATGTTCATTGCAGGAATATTCACAATACCCATTATATGGAAACAACCGAAGTTTTCAAGGATGGATGAATGGGCATAGAAAATGTGTTATGTATGTGTGTGAATATTATTCACCCATGAGAGAGAAGGAAATTCTGCCACTTACAACAACATGGATGAACCTAGAGGACATTGTACAAAATGAAATCAACCTGAGAAATACAAATACAGTAAGATCTCACTTAGGTGTGAAATCTAAAAACAAAAAGTTGAACTCATTAAAACAGAGTAGAATGCTGGTTACCAGGTGGTGGGGGTTGGGAGAAATGGAGAGATGCTAGTCAAAAGGTATAAGCCTTGGAGCACCTGGGTTGATTAAGCTTCTGCTGTCAGCTCAGGTCATGATCTCACGGTTTGTGGGTTTGAGCCCCACATCGGGCTCTATGCTAACAGCTTGGAGCCTGGAGCCTGCTTCAGATGCTGTGTCTCCCTCTCTCTCTGCCCCTCCCCACCCCGTGCTCTCTCTCTCAAAATAAATATTTTAAAAAAGGTATAAGCCTTAAGTTATAAGATGATTAAGCTCTGGGGATCCAATGTATAGCATGGTGACTATAGTTAAAAATAATATGGGGCGCCTGGGTGGCGCAGTCGGTTGAGCGTCCGACTTCAGCCAGGTCACGATCTCGTGGTCCGTGAGTTTGAGCTCTGCGTCAGGCTCTGGGCTGATGGCTCGGAGCCTGGAGCCTGTTTCCAATTCTGTGTCTCCCTCTCTCTCTGCCCCTCCCCGTTCATGCTCTGTCTCTCTCTGTCCCAAAAATAAATTAAAAAAAAGTTGAAAAAGAAAAAAAAAATTAAAAAAAAATGTGTTATACCCCTCCCCCACTCATGTACTATCTCTCTCCCTCTCAAAAAAGAAATAAATTAATTAATAATAATAATAACATGTTCTATACTTGAAATTTGCTGAGAGTAAACCTTAAGCGTTCT